GAATCATACATGGTAGGATGTAATATATTTGATATTTTGATACCATGATTATTTGAAATATTTATGATAATGTATGCAAAACTTGTGATAATGATGCATGCAATGTAATGATATATATATATATATATATATATATATATATATATATATATATATATATATATATATATATATATAATGTGTTGCATATATTAATGATGAAATATTACTTTGAATTCAAGGTTCTATCATTATTGCATATTGATATGGGGAGTTAAGGTTAACTCCATCATCAATTGGTTGTCATCATAAAAAATGGAGAGATTATTGAATCTCGAATTTTGATAATGAAATCAATTGATGTGTTTGTCATCTAATATGCATTTAAGTGACACAGGACTAGCTTCGATCAGAAAAGGCAAATCGATTAAAGTAGGAGGAATTAAACGTTGGGCCGAAGCAAATATATCAAAAGATTGGATGTCGGGCCAGAGCAAATCGGTCGATACATCGACAGAAGGCTTCCGTCCGTGAATTCAGGCATCGGGTCAAGAAAATCATATATTACGCCAAGGAGATCGGATGTTACAAGAAGACAACATACTGATTGGGCAATACGCCGAAGGAGAGGACGATGCGTTGAAAGATCGGACGAAGCACTGGAAGAACGGACGAAGCGCCGAAAGAATCAATGATATGCCGGACAACATAAGATTCGCTTGTAATCGATTATGTCTAGATCGAGTTAGTTTAAAGTCTAATTGAGTCGATTTAGAATGTAATTAGTCTAACTCAATTAGGGGCCAATTGAGCCCAAGTTTGGGCTAAGTAGAAGGCCCAAATAATGACCCAACAAGTGGAACCATCATAGCAATCTCCGAGACTATGTCAAGCGGTGGTACCATCAGAGCTCAGTCTCCAAGCTCTATTAGGCGGTGGTACAACCCAGTATCAGGCTACAAGTGGTAGTACTACCTAGTGCAGGCGGTGGTATTGCCCATACCCCAAAATCTCGGGGATTTAAATTTTGGCTCTAAGTTTTGAAATCATTTTAGGTCTATAAATACCCTAGCTATTCCTGCATGGAGTAGCAAGTAAAATGAGCAAAACTCTGAGATGCTAAAATTGTGAACCCTACTAGAAAGTTGAGTTCTCTCCTCCAAAAGCTTAGAGAGAGTTCTAAGGGAGGTGTGTGAGGAAAATCTTATAAAAGAGGGGTATAGAGGTTATCTCCTAAACTTGTGAAAAAGAGAATGTATAAAAGGGTAGTTGATCTTCGCCTATTAAAAGAAGATCATTAGTGGATGCCGGTGGCCTCGACGGAAGAGGAATCGACGGAGTGGATGCAGGTCACGACGACCGAACCACTATAAAATCTAGTTTGCATTTCCTTTGTGAAATTTACCTTTACTGCAAACCACTTTACTTTCACTACGCTTCTATACGCTTTTAAGTTAAACATATTACATATATAGGCTTTATCCAAGATCGATTTTTATCGTACGAAGATTTTTCAAAATCGATTATTTTATTGCTACACTAATTCAACCCCCACTCTTAGTGCCAACTCGATCCTAACATCTCTTTCTTACCAACAACTTGGAAGAATATAGATTTTGAAGATTTTTTACGATCATGGAATACTACCTCATTTTGAGCCTTCCGAGTTAACCAAAATGTATAAGTAATGTTGGGAAGGGAAAAAAAAACTCAAAACAAAAGAAAAAACTTTTATATTAAAAAAATAATATATCAAAAAGTCAATGTAATATTTAATGTGGTTCGACAACTTTCGCTTACATTCATCGAGTAAATAAAATTTTTTATTATGTGAGATCAATTACAAGACCCTTGAGTTATCCCCACTCAAGTACAATCCTCTTGTACACCCTCTCATAGAAATATCAAAGAATTTATACATTATCTTTTATCTTCTCTAGAAATCATATATAGTACTCTCTTAGACACTCTAAATAGATGATAACATTAGAAATATTACTTTGCTTTTCCTTATTAAAACTTAAAAATACATATGATATTAATAATAAAAGAATCAAATCATAATTATTAATATTTATTTTATTCACGGGGATTCCTTTGGTATTGAGATTTTTTATCCTCCTACAATACTAGTTCTAAAAATTTAAAAATATTTAAGGATCCTAATATATAATTAGAGATCTTAAAGTCATAGTGGCTTTTAAAGTTATTCTCCTTTCTTAAGCTAGTGCCTATTGTGTCAAGGAAAATAAAACACACTTAGAAATGAATATCTAATTTAGCCTAGCAAGGGACCATCGAAGTGATTAGCACTATAAAAGTGCATTGAAAAAAGAAAAGATATGAGTCGCTTGTTAAAGTGAACACTATAGAGATAGTGTTCAACTCGGGCACAAATACCGAAACTAATCAACTATTCTGTCATGGGAATTTTATTAAGAGGAGTTTTCAGAAAAATAGAAAGCCCGAGAGATAAATGGTATCTTTAAAAATAGTTTTCAATTAACAGAAGATTCAAGAGAAAAAACAATAGAGTTGCACAAAAAATCAAAAGCCAAGTTGATCAATGATTGCCGATAGGGATCAGATCTCCGGATCCATTTATGATGATCGGGGATGTAAACTAACTGATCCTAAACAGTATATCAATTATCAATACTAAAAAATTAACAAATATGCATATTAAGAGGGGTTACAGAGAAATAGCAATTTCAAAGAGCCACCTATCATTAGTGACATTAATAGAATTGCCATTTCCAATTTGGAAGGAGTAACCCAACTTGAGTAGCTCTAAAGCTTTTTAGAAAGATCTCCAATGTTAGCTTATATTATTATTGTTTGCAATGTTTCATACACACATATATATATTATCATATTTGTTATGTGCAATTTTGGACTATATAGTATCAGCTTGATATTGAAAAATCCATCCGTTTCTGAAGAACAAATTTAGTGATTGGAAGATTGTGGATCCCCAAATCCCCTATTATCTTATTCCAATTAATGAGGTATAGACCCTTTACTATCCTAATTCTTTTATCATAAGAAATCTCTAATAATTTTTTTCAATGAAATTAAAAATCCGTCTAGGCGTCCACGTAATTGCCAGCAGAAATAGCGAAAAAGAACAAAGTGATTCGACCATCTTGAAATAGGAGAATTGTCAACCATCCTTGAAGCATTGAGAATGGCTAAATAGTATTCTCTTGACGAGGTGCAATCTACCTGCGTATGACATTCTTATTTATGTCCAATCTGATGGGTAATTTTAGCTTCGGAGCATTACTGTCCCTCGCGGACAAGCATCTTCCTCGGTCCCCCTTGTCGTCATAACGTGGTTCTATCTGGAAACACAAAAGCACAACGTTTTATGATTCTATCTTTGCTTACCCATGTAATCTACCGCTTGTCTCAGTCGGCCTTCCAGCGGGGCTCACATTAGACCTTCCAATTAAGTGTATGTGAGTGGCCAACGGGAAGAACTAGTTTTCCAAACTCCAAAAACCCAACCCGGTCGAGTCAACTCGGAATCGAACATCTTGCACAAATAAAAACCCGAGTCGCCCGTCGTCTGGTGCCCCTCTCTCGATTGCTCCTCATAAACCCTAGGCCTAATCCTTCTCTTCTCCGCTTCTCCATGGGGAAGTCGAGAGCGGCGAAGGATCGCAACAACAAGCGCAACAACAAGAAGCGCAAGCTCGGCCTCAAGCCCCAGAAGAAGCAGCAGCCAAAGCCGCAGCGGCAGACGCAACGACAGTCGCAGCGGCAGCGGCAGCGGCAGCCGCAGCCGCAGCGTTCCCACGATAACCTCGCACAGGAATACGAGGATCCCGTCCTCTTTGGAGGTGGCGCCGGCGGCGACGACGACGATCCCGCCGCCGCTCTCTCCTCCCCTGATCGGATCCACCGCCTCCTCGAGCCGTACACCAAGGATCAGCTCATCAGCTTCCTCCTTGACGCCGCGGCCTCCGATGCGTCCCTTCTCGCCCACATCCGCACCATGGCCGACCGCGACGTTTCCCACCGCAAGGTCTTCGTCCACGGCCTCGGCTGGGACGCCACTCGCGAGACCCTAATCCAGGCCTTCGAGCCCTACGGCCCCATCGAGGAATGCAACGTCGTCGTCGACAAGGCCACCGGTCGTGCCAAGGGCTACGGCTTTGTCCTCTTCTGCTCTCGCGCTGGCGCTGTCAAGGCCCTGAAGCAGCCCCAGAAGAAGATCAAGAATCGCATCGCCTACTGCCAGCTCGCGTCCGTTGGCCCCGTCCCCGCTTCCAGCAGCACGGACACCCCCGGGAGGAAGGTGTATGTCAGCAATGTCCACGCCGATGCTGCCCCTAACAAGCTCAAGGCATTCTTCTCCCAATTTGGGGAAATCGAGACCGGACCCTTTGGGTTCGACATGCTCACGGGGAAGTCGAGGGGGTTTGCGATCTTCATCTATAAGACGCAAGATGGGGCGCGAAGGGCGCTCGAGGAACCATACAAGATGTTTGAAGGCCACCAGCTGCACTGTCAGCTGGCCACTGAGCATGGGCAGAAGGGAAAGGCACCGGTTTTTGCTCCCAATCCGATGTCTAACGCTGCTCTTCTTGCGGCGCCACCGCAGCCTGTGCTGGCGGTTATGGCTGCTGCACAGAACCTAGCTTTGTACAACCAGAATCCAGCAGCTTTCGGTGCTCTGCTTGGGCAGAACCCACTATTTGCCGCAGCTGCACTTAATCCTGCAGCTGCAGCTGCACTTAATCCTACAGGGTTGCTTGCATCGCAGGGCCAGACTCTAGGAGGAGGAATGGGTGTGGGAACTGGAGCTCCCTCATTGCTGGGTGCTTATGGATCTCAGGCATTGGCAGGTCTGCAAGGATTACAGTCATATCAGGGTTCGCAACTTGGTCAATCATCATCTATGAGGCCTACCGGGTCCTATGGAGGGTTTCCTTGACATATATGGTATATTATTAATTTTGATGATTTATACCTTTTAAGGATTTTCCCTTCTTTTTCAATGCTTAATGTTATGTTTCTCTAACTCTTTTTCATATTCAACCACTTGTTCAGTCATTTTGATTTTAAGTAATTTACATTTTTATTTCCTTATAAAATTTTCATGCTTATACCTTTGATTCTTGATATTAGGATCACTCTTAACCAGTATAATTTTATTAAATTCTGCTTTTACTTATACAGTGGATAAGCTACTTTCTCTATGAAATTTTATTTTCTGACTTTGTTTTGGATGTATATTATTTCTTTATTGGATGGCCTTCTGAGCTTCTGCGAGTCAATAGGTTATGTCATCTCCAGTCAATCTAGACATGGAACACGAAAACTCGTAATTCTTAAATGTGTGAAAAAATGACCCTAACCAAGCTACCAAAAAATTTCAGGTTGATATGCCATGATTGGTTTAATTAGATCAGCCTATTGACACTACATGTTTAACAAGTTATGACCTGTTTGGTTGTTGATGTTATATCATAATATCCTAAAATCAAATTTGTGTTGACATGACATGATGGCTAAACTGGTTATCATGTGTTGTTTATGTCAACCTACCCAACTTGATCCATATATTTGGTGCTTCTCGGTTCAGGAGTTAAGTTTTATTTTTTTTAAGAATTTTTATTTGTTGTATTAATTGGTCCTATGTTTGATAAACCTAAATTTTACTTTATATTTTAGCTTTTGTCTACTAAAATAGATGATAAGATAGGTGGAATTCTATTCTTTAGGGATTTTTAGATTAGAAGATATTAGTATTTAGGCCTGTGTTATTCCCACTATAATTATCTTTTTCAGCTTATGTTCTTGCATCTTTCATCAGCTTCTACCTGTCACCTTTTCATTCTAAATATCTAAAACTTAGTTATCTTGATTATTTATTCCATTAGTTTGTTATCTCAGATATGTGAAGGCTGTGATATCAGATTAGACTGCATGTTTGGACTACCATGCTTTCTATTTTATATCAATTTAAAGGTGGTTAGTTGAGTTAATTTCATAACACAAGTTTAATAGGCTAATGGCAAACCTGCCACCATTTGTCAAGGTCATACCAGTCATGTTTTAAGCTAGTGTACTTTAGATTATAATTCAAAAGTTGATGTTTGGAAAAATTCAATTATAGCAGCAAAGTTGGAAGGGGACATTTTAATGATGAAGGTAACAAGATAATATCAGAATAGTGGGTAGAATGTTGCTATAGATTTTTCTCACCTTCTTGATGTTATTAGTTTTTATCCTTTTCACTTTAATGAATGGGAGTTACTTGGAATTAATACTAAACTTGATTTATGGGGTAAAAAAACATAAAACTGAAGGTTCTAGGAAAATTATAATTGAGGCCAAACATATGAAGTACAGTATAATTATATCAAGAAAAGAATTGCAAGTGCAGTTAAAGCAGATGAAAGAAAATACCTAGTGATTTATTTATATTCATTATGAAGGAGAGGATGATGAATATACGCCTCATAGAGTTGAAGCAAGATGATTTAAGTAATTATGAAATCAGGAGTTTTACATAATTATTATGTGTTCTTTTGAAAGAAATAAAAATGAAATTATAAGACAGTTATGTAGCTTATAAAACAAAATATTTGGCAATTAGGAAATGACATATACAAAAAGTTAGTAATCAATTATGAGAAAACATATATAAAAAGTTAGTATTGCTAATATGAGGATATTTAGATAGATGTTGATATGAGTATGCTGAGATGCCTGTCTGAGGTTACTAGAAAACACGTAATAAAGAATATGTATATTCACCAACTATTATATGTTGTTAAAATTAAGGATAAAACAAGAGAAAATTGTTTTTAGTTAGTAACAAGATGTTTAAAGGAAGTGCATCCTTTATATGTGGTGAGTCAATTAAGACTAAAGATGCAAGGAGTGATAGAGAAAGACCTGCGAAATCTTAATTAGAAATCATGTAAAAAATTTGGTTACTCTTAGCTTCACTGATATTATTCTCAATAAAGCTTATTGATGGAAAAAAAAAACAATCCATGTCATTGACCTTAAATTGGATCATTATTGTTGTCATTGTTGTGGCGGATGGGTGATTCATTTGAAGCTTATACAGAAAAAAAAATCATGAGTTGTCGATGCAAAAATGATTTTTTAACAAGTACTCATTTGCTGTTAGATATAAGGTTAACAAAGAAACCTAGGATTAGTTACTTAGGATCTGTTATTAGATCGTAAAAGTGTCATCTTAATACACTGGAAATTGAAGCAGTATTTCATAGGTGCATTGGTGGAATAAAAAGATGAATCAAGGCTCTGCAGTATCAAAGTCACATCTGGTTGAGGCCTGTACAGTTATATGTAGACTTTTGTGTATGTTTTAGACCCTGACTGAATTCTTCTTGATCATTGTCTATTCTTGGTCGATAAGAACTCTTAATAAAATGGCTGCCAATTGCATGTTCAGATGTTATGTTCTCTTGGTTGGGCTTTAATCTTATGAATCTCAGTCTTGGGCAAGAGCTCCTGAATTCTCATGTCACTTGAACATTTTGTCTGGCCCAGTAGCTGGTGGGATTATGGTAGATGGGAATATACAGCTTGCTGTCTGGCCTGATGGTTATGGTTCCACAGTCACAGTATAGTTCGTATCAAAAGAAAATGCAGGTTGACTTTGGTTCCCAAAGAGATGTCCCAACTTGGAAATGGTTTTAGATGCCTAAAACATGTGATCTCTGAGAATTTAGGAAAATTTTCTTTCGGATAATTGGTTCCCATAAGATTTTCATTGAATTTATGTATAAGATGGATGTGGTTGAAGATTAAGATTTGCAAAATGCAAATTGTAATGCATATTTGTTGTTTGCTTTCTTTATTCCTTTCTTCCTGCATTTCCAAATTTTACCTCTATAATTTTTCTATTTTTGATGTCTTCTATTTTTAACTCTTGTCATCATCATTAAAGCTTTCTTTATTTGGTTTTCATAATTTAGTCTTAAATTCTTAATATTGCTGTTATGTTCTGTGATTAAACTAAAGTATTTCAGCTTATTCTGTATCTGTGACTGAAATATATGACCATCCGGGAACTTGTTGGCTTGAAAAAGTTGTGTTAATATACCGGAGACCTTTATCGCAGATGTGAGGAAGCTAGTACAAGAAGAAAGCATGGGGCCTTGGAGGGTGGTTGTTAAAGGCTTCTCTATCTATTCAGGCTAATATGGAAGGACTTGTGTAACAGCCTTTGAGTGTGTTCATCTCCAGTTCCACTAAGCTCAGTAACTCAAGTGGAACTCTTGGGGAAAGAACTTTTTTCACTTGGCATGCTGCTCCATTACTGTGAAACATGTGTGTGTTTACTTTTGTATTTAAGCATTTTGGTGGCAGTTGCTAATATTATTAATTTTGTTCTTTTTGTTTTGTTATCTTCTTTTCTTATGTTTACTATTCTTTCTAATTCCTTATGCTTTTAGATTTTTGACTTTTTTGGTCTTTCTGAGAAAATATTTTTGGTATTTGAAATTTGATAATTTTTGTAAGGCTAATGCAAGTGGTCTCACGTGCATATTGTAGTTCCTGGCTTAGGACATGGAGTTTCTTCTTTTTCTTTTTCTTTTTCTTTTTTTAAATTTTTGTTATTTTATGTTTCTTTTAATGACTTGATGTTAATGTGGTGCCACTGAACGTTTTAGATCCCATGCTTCATACTTTTGAGAAAATATTTTGGATGCACCACTTATAATTTGATTACCATGTGGATTCCTGAATGACTCTGTGTATTGAAGAGAGTTGTTCTCTTTTGGAACGTTAATAGGTCAGATTTTTTCTTTTAATTATCAGATTTTTTAAATCGGTTTTGGGCAACTTTTTTAGTTAGATTTGGAATGGGTTCTGATTGAAAAATAGGTGACTCGAATCTGGAATTCAGAATGGAATCCGAATGCCTCAATAATTAGCCAGATTTTGATATGGTGATTTATAGTTGTTACATTACTGATTATTGTTCCTAATTGAACTGGATTCTTTTCTTTAACCTTCACTTTGTTTGGTCAATGTTGTATCAAAATGAATTTGTATTGGACTATCAGAGAATTATTAGTTTTTGTATTGATTTGGTAGCTTTGTGCTCATGTTATGATGTTTTTGGGGTCCTCTTTAACGTATAAGCAAGGGGTGTTAAGAAAAAGAAAAGTATTATGAATATGTTTTATATTCTCAACGTAACGTATAATTATATTGCCTTTATAAACATAATTTTTAACTCGTGGTTTGATCCTTTGAACTATAAATCACTAGATTTAATCGGATTGATGTTCTGTTGGACGGTGCTTAAGATCGTTCAGAACACCTCGATCGGGTTCGGTTCGGTCACCGTGGGTGCAAATAAGACCGCGATCATGTTAATCTTTTATCCAAGCTGCTTTATTTGTTCGATGGTCAGACCTACGCAAACCAATGGACCGGCGAACCTTCCCGACTTAGGTTAGTAGACTTGTACCGAAACTTAATTTTGGGAAACCAACTGAACACCTATTCACTTTGGATGGAGAGGGTTTGCTTTGGCGACTCCGTCGTCTCTCCGTCACCCAGGACCTCCTCCCTTCGAAATCTCTAAATCCTGTGGTTCCCCTGTTGCCATTCCCGTGGGGAATCAGATCCCTCTTCCTCTGTCAAGTCTGATGGTGAGAAAGCTTCCTGGGCGTCAATTCCGGTCAGCGAGTCGTCTGCTGCTGTTCCATTAGGTTCCTTCCTCCTCCCCCCCCTCTTTAGATAAGATCAAAGTTTCCTTCTCCAATTGTGTTATATTTGATGAGGCAAGACTTTTCTGGCACCGGCCTTGGGCCGCCTGCCTTGTTAGCAAGTTCGTCCGACGACCTCCTCCCCTAGCTGTCCTCCAAACGTTCCTTCCTGAACTTTGGTTTTTGTCCTCCTCCCCTAGCTGGTCATTCTTGACCTGAAGGCGCTTCATGTCCTGTTGAACTTGTTGACCCTGGTCAATCACACGCCACTCCTCACGCCTCGGCCTTTCCTACTCCCAGCCACGCGCCTGTTAGGATTGTTGACCCTCGTCAACTGAACCTTAGCCCAGATCTTCTAGCTGGTGGTGGGGTTCCTCCCCCAATAATGCCTTGTTAGGGGATGATGTGTGATACTGTGACCTCGAAAGCGACGACGAATTTGTTCGACAGGCCGATCGCGAGGACGATTCGTTGTCCACAGATAAATTATTATCTGGCCAACCCACCTCTCGGAAAAAGAATAGCCATGGTGCTCCCTCGCAGTCGTTCTGACTCTTTTGTCTCCAACTTCCTCTACTTGGAGATGTCTTCCTCCTTGGTCGAACATTGCTATCGAGGATTCTCCCTCTGATTCCATCGCAGTAGCCGATGGAACGCTTGAGGCTGCGATGCCGGTGGCCAAAGTGGTTGTTGCATCGATCGGTAGTTTGGAGCTTGTCTTGGATGAGCCGGAGGTCGAGAATATTGATTCAGACTGCTATCTAGCTATTGATAAGAGTTGCTTCAGGGTGTTAGCAAACTACCTCTTTACACCATCTGACTAAACTCATGCCTTCTCCTTCGGAGTTGATGGGATGCATGATATTGTGACCTCTTTTTTTTAATCGAGTTCACGAGACAGATCGGGAGGTCGATTCGAAAGGTACCCTTTTTATCTCTCGAACGCTGTTGATTAAAGAACCATGAGTCTCCTTCCTCGAAGCTCTCTTGTGATCGTTTTGATTCTTCCCGCAAGTATTCATAATTTTGAGAAATTTCTATGGACCGTCTAAATTTTTAAAAATTTTCATGAAAATTTTAAAATTTTAAAATAATAAAAATAACCCTCCAACAACCTTGAACTTAAAAAAAATATATATAATTGCTATCTTATCTCTCCCCTTAAAAGCTTATATATATTCTTTCTTCATCTTTTTAATAAACTAACCCATATTTCAATTAATCTAAAACTTGAACCGATTAAAAAATTTACTGATATATCAATTTATATTATCAAAATATTAAATAAACATAAAAATATATTAAATTACTAAAAAATTAATTATTAATAACTAAGACATGGTACCTTCCAACATCTTAAAGAAGGAATCAATCCATTAAAAAAAAAAAAATTGTTGTCTCTTACGATTCACACATGAGGTAGGATAAGTACTGAATGCATTGATTCAGTACAAGAATATTCGAATTTCTTTTTATAGAATCAAGTTACAAGAATATAAAAAGAAAAATACAAAAATGAGAAAGATTATAGCTGCATTGAATCAAATATATGATGTGTCTTTAAAGAAGCTAATAATTCTGACTTAATTAAAAAAATTATCTTCATCTCTTGATAATATAAGAGGATTAATATATTTTTTTAATCTTTGTAGATATAATTTTTTAAAAATCTTCAATCAAGATTTATAATCATCAAACATGATAGAGTATGATTTACTTTACTTTTTTCTATATTTGTTTTATTTTTTTTCTAATTTAGTAAACGTTGACATGTGATAGCTTATTATATATATAAAATATCCTAAGCTAATAATGTTTATTTATATAAAAAAATAAAATAAATTGGTTTCACATCATATGTTTCTAGGAACTCATCCTATGTTTATATTATTAGGAACGAGTCAGCACTAAGAGAGGGGGGAGGGGGGTAAATTAGTGCAGTGGTAAAATCACGTTGGTTCTGAAAATTTCTTTCGTTTCGTACGATAAAACCAATTTCGGAAACTTGCTCAACTTGAAAGCGTATTCGTAAACGTATTGAAAGTAGTAAGCAAGTAAGGAGGTTTGTAGTAAGATAAATTGCACAAAAGAAAAGACAAACCGGATTTTTATAATGGTTCGGTCGTCGGGACCTACATCCACTCCATTGATTCATATTCCGTCGAGGCCACTGGCATTTACTATCGATCTTCCTTTAACAGACGAAGATCAACCCCCTTCTTACACCCCTCTTCTCCTTTTCACAAGTTTAGGAGACAACCTTTACAAGCACTCACTCCTCTCTCAAACTATTCTAACACTTAGACTAGAGGAGGATTCTCACTAGAGATTACAACAGCATTTTTCCCTTTTTAAATTCTCTGTACTTGTGTTAGTTAACCAGGGATGAGAGAGGTATTTATAGGCTTCAAGTTGATTCAAACTCGGAGCCTAAAAAGGTCTCATCCCAAGTTTCCTGGGTACTAGCGGTACCACCACCGTTCCTAGGCGGTACTACTATCGCAGGATCTGCTATTGGGCGGTACCACCACCTGACAAGGGTGGTAACACCGCTGGCAGCATTATTGCCGATGGTACCACCACCCAGCCTGGGCGGTACCATCTCCCAGAATACCTAGGGTACTATTGTTGGGAAATCATTGGGGGGCGACATCATATGCGCAGCGGAAGAACAAGAAAACAAAAATCCCCGATTCCCAAAAAGATGTTCGTCGTCGTGCGAAGATTGGTGCGCAAAAATCCGCAAAACACAAAACTGCGTATAGAGATTGTGTTACCTAGGGAGATCGTATATCCCTGTTTTCTTGCAGATCCTTAGGAGAGGGTGAAGGAGGTCAAGCGTCCTCCTCTCTAGCGGTGA